GTTACCAACAGAGCTCATTAACATAAACAGCTCTTCTGAACAGAAGTCAGAGCAGCAGAACTAGAAAAGGGGAAATTTTATTATCTGAGAATTATTTTGTGCATTAAATWGAATGAACATGGTCTGGATAGCCCACAGACATACCATAAACATTTCTAGGACCYATAATTGGTCTCCTTTAAAGAGACAGAGGCCAATTTCAAGGCGTTTAAAAGAGGAAGTGATGAGAAGATAAGTTTATTTTCTATTTAAACATTAAAACAGCCTTTTAATAACAGCTAAAGGTGACATAGATACTTTATTATGGTTTAGTATTTAAATATATGCCTGAGAAACACATAATATTGGCCCTTTAATTAATAAAAGAAGAGTTTTACCTTCTGAGCCTTGTGCTGCATGGCCTCATCAAACAACGACACACAGTCACTGATGAACTTCTCACTGACCACCACGCTCCCACCCAGCACCCGYGCCGACGACAGGATGTTGGTGTTCCTCATGGCCTGGCTGATGAGCATCCCCACGTCCTCCACAGAGAGGCAGCTGGGCAGGACCGGCTAGAACCAGGAGAACCAGGAAGTGCTGAAAGCTTGTACTGGCTTGACCAGGACCACACGTGGGTCTGCAGSGGACTCACCTGGAGGTCAGTCCACGTGGCAGAGTTAACGGCCTCCTCCACAGAGGCCTCCACCTGGTCCAGCAGAACCTGAGCCACACAGGCGGCTCGCAGGAACAGCAGCTTACTGGACCTGAAGCGCTTCTTGATGTAGCTGGACGGATCGGGGATCCCAAGCCTGAGCAAGGCATCGAACTCTGCAGGAAGAGGAGGAGGACGGTCCTGGTCAGGGCTTTAAAACAACCGGGTCGGATCAGAACACACAGAGCAGRGCGTGAGGTGGAGCCAAACAGGAAGTCCTGCTGGATCAGGGAGACTGAGGTAAACACAGAACCTGCAGAGGATCTTTACCGGATCAGACGGTTCAGCTAACAGCTGAGCAGGAGGTGGACCTGGACCACAGAACCAGGCTGGATTTACCTCTCAGGCTACAAGGATCGGGTCTACAGCTCTGGACCCGCTCTTGCTTTGGATCTTTTATCTTTGATGTAAAAATTTCTTTAAGTAAATGAGAGAAATAAATCTTTCAAAGTGCCTGAGGCAAACAGAAGCTTTAGAGCAGGAGGACTGAGGACTCTGGACTGAGGACTCTGGACTGAGGACTCTGGACTGAGGACTCTGGACTGAGGACGGGTCAGGATTATAAAACCCACAGGGTGAAGTTGAACACTGGGTCAGTTATTAAACATCCTTCAGTCTCATTTATCAGCCTCCTGCTAACTGAGCTTTAATGCAGATTCTGAGGAAGAACTGAATCTTAAAGTTATTATTTTGGGTGATTTCACTACAAACTGTGAAGATAAATCAGAAAAATAAATAAATAAATTTAACGTGACTCAGCTGACCTGTCCAGGCACAAGAAGAACTGACTCCAGTAGGACTCAAACTGATTTCAGATTTAATAACAAACCTAAAAGAGTTTATTATGTAATTATCATAATGATTCTCTGATCATGGCTAAATCAACTGTTCAGTTTCCTGTTAGGAGATTTAAATTTGAAGGTAAGAACTTGTATCTTTTCTACAGAACACTAAAGAGCACTGTAAC